GATGATTGCATATACACTCCTTGATATTGAAAAAATGGGTAATGATCTTCAATTGGCAATGACATGTGCTGTAGGTATGAATATATTGGCTAAAATCAATTACTTTGGCGGCCATATTGGATTTCAAGATGGTGGCCATTAGGAGGCGTTTCCTTTTGGGGTCTATTTTTTTTTAGTGATCTTTAGGTGTCATAGTATCACTATGGGAAGTTTCATGCTTTCTTCCAGAAGTGCACGATTCTACCTGAAATTCAACTTTAGTCGCTCTACTGTACTATATTGAAATGCTAAAACGCATTGTTACCTCAATGTACAATACCTCCGTTTTTAATTTTATAAGCGTTTATTTGTTTATACTTACTAATGTAGAAAAATTAAAGTAGTTTCATATAAAATTTCAGCCCCGAAACCTAGACTCAGAAATACCGGGATGGTGTCCGGCGGGCGATATTTTAACTATTAGTTAAGTGTTTCTTGTTTTTGCTTAGTACAGCTTTTAACATGTTATTACCTCAATGCACAATACCTCAGCTTAATTTTTTAAGTATTTATTGTTTTCTAACAAATGCGGGACAAAATTGAAGTATTTCCATAAATTCTAGCCCCAAAACCTAGACTCAGAAATACCGGGATGGTGTCTGACAGGGAATAGTTTAACTAATTAGTTAAGTGTTTCTTGCTTGTGCTTTGTATCGTACTGCTACAAACACATTGTTACCGCAGTGTACAATACCGCAGTTCAATTGTGTATGCAATATATTAAAATCATATAGATACTTAATTTACAATCAAATCCATAATCCATATGGTGGACACATTTGTTGTAATAGTAGAAGAAGCAATGTAAAATTCAAAACTGGTACCACGTTATTGACTAACTATAGTATAATGCTGTTACATCTGTAACCTAGAAGAGACCGCTGTTAAAAGTTAATAAATTTTGTTAGTCAATAAAGTGCTACTAGGTTCTAATCCTATGATTACATATTTTTCAACAATCTGATTGAAATACACCTTGAGCTGTACCATTTATCATGTATAGACAATTCATGTTCTGTAGTTTAATCCGATCTATTATAAATATTTGTTATTGAGTTTGTATCATGGTATTGTTGTATTTCATCTGAAGTCGGTGTTTAACAAAATTTTATCAAACAGAAATCTATAGCTAAATTAGTAAATAATTGCTGTCAATTGGATTTTTTTTATTGGAGAATAAAAAAAAACTGGGTTATTTTCATTCCATCTGATGAGCATAAAAAAAAAAACAAAACAAAAAAAAACTGATGAGTAAAAAAAATAAAAAACTTTTCTACCTGCCTCTATCATTTAAAAAAAAGAAGGGCAAACTAACTATTTTTTTTTGGCCTAATACACAGTAATATGAACTCTTGCCCTTTTACACAGATGGTCTTCCCTCTGCACTATGTGCTTTGTATACAACATTAGGCCTACGACGTATCTAGGGGTGTTTGCGAACACGCTCCCCCACAATTTGGAAAAGGTCTAAATGGCAGTTAAGAATGTACACAATATAAAACTCAATTTGCAACATAGAAACTGTGGTGTAAATTGCTGACACGGGGCCCGAACCACAAGGCTGACAAAGCCTCTGAATAAAAAAAATCCTTGGAAGGGTTCACAGGGAGAGCTTTTATGGCTTAGTAGGGTAGGCCTATGGCCTACGCTACTGGGCCTAGGCCAGGCTATTGGTACAGTATTACTGTATTTTTTTTAGCCTAGGCCTTCATTCATTGGCAACAGGCCTAGGCCCTAGCTATCGACTGTCTGTACCAACTTGCATGGTATTTCGTGCGAATGAAATTTTTTTCGACAATTCGCAGATGCCAAAGATCTTGAAATCTACCGTGCGAATAAAAATTTATTCGCACTGTACCATGCTAATAACCGTGCAAATAAGAAGTAATTTGAATAAGTTATTATTCGCACGGTACCGTGCCAATAACCTCTTCCTTAAATTAAAGCAATGCCTAGCTGAAAGCCCTATTGCTTTTACCCAAATCTTGTTAAGCCATTTACTATACAATGTGACGCATCTAATGTAGGTATAGGATCTGTTCTACTTCAACAGTCAGATGTAGACGGGGTAAACCACCGTATCTCATTGCGGACGCTTAGTGCCGCGGAGCATAACTATAGTACCGCAGTGTGAGAGTGCCTGGCTATCATATGGGCCGTAGAAAAATGGAAACATTACTTAGAGGGAAAAAGGACCGTTGTCATTACTGATCATCAGGCCCTTTGCTGGCTCTTCAATAAAAGCTAAATTACAAGGCAAATTTGCGTGGTGGATTCTTAGCTTACAACCATTTAAACTCGCTATCACATACGGCCCAGGTGTGACAAACCAACTACCGGATTTTCTTTCACGTATTCCAATTGCATGTTTGTCAGTTGACAACCTAGAGAATAATAAGTATGATGACATTTGCGCAGCTAGTAACTGTTTGAGGCCATATAATAAAATAATAGATTGGGCACAATGTGACGATTGTAGTGTGCGTGGTTTCATACTGAATGCGCAAAAATAAGCAAACAGCTTGTGGTGCAAATTGAGCATTTTTTGTGTCAACAATGAAAGCGCGAAAACTGGCAATGCCACAGCTTCGATTAATTCCCCCCTTTCATCCCCTGATTAATAAGAGTGAACTTATTAAGGCACAACATCGGAGTCAACGGCCAACCATTAATTAGATTAAGGAATAGGAGTAGTTTAGTCTCATTGTTATTGTTATTAATTTTATTTTATTTTATTGTTACTATTTTATTGTTATTTGCTTTTTCTCAGTTGGCCTATATTATTTCTCTGTAAAGCGCATAGGGGCAATGTGCAATATGCGCTATATAAATACAACATTATTATTATTATTAACATTGTGATGAGTCAATCCAATTATTGTTACAATCTGGAATGAAACTTATACACCAGGGTGAATGACTTGGTAATGCACTACTGTATGTGCCTGGGCAGTGGAATGTTGTTGTTCCTAAATGTTTAATACAATATGTTTTATCATTGTGCCATGACCAACCAATAGCGGGTCATATTAGTCAGGACCAAAACCCTGCATCGAGAAAGATAATGGTTGTGGTGGAAAAATAAATTTTCAGATATACGCAACTATGATAAATATAATAGGTTGTGGTCGAAAAATGACTTGCGGTCGACCTAATGGGACCACTACGCAAAAGTTACGGGGACAATGACCATTTGCTGGTTCTGGTCGATAATTACAGCAAGTGGACGGAAGTGTTCCCTCTTAAACATGCAACAGGCAATGAAGTTGCTTCGGTTTTGGTACGTCAAATTTTTTAAAGGTTTGGGCTCATAGGAAACTGCTGTCCAATAATGGTAGCCAGTTTACAGGCAAAGATGTGGCCGCAGTATGCGATAACTGGGGTGTCAAACAAGTTTTCACGACACCCTACCACCCACAAACCAATTGGGTTGAACACCAAAATATAGTACTTAAATCTATGATTGAAGCATTTGTGAATGATGATCATAAAACCTGGGACATTCACAATGCGGAGTTGCAATAAACACAGCAAGGCATGATACCACTGGCTTAACCCCACCCCATATGATGTTTAAATGAGGGTTGTATACTCCATAAACTAAAATGTTAAAGGAGTCAGTTGATACAGACACCTGACAAAATGTTAGAACAGAGTAGAGCTCTTGTTAGAGTGGAACGAGCACGACAAAAGGTTTACTACAGTATGACCAAAAAAGAAGAGTTTTGCACTTTTAAAGTAGGCCGAGTGGACATGCTGCTTAATAAATCTGTTCATTCCAACAAAAGGCGGAATTTTGCTGCAAAATTGGCTCCACAGTGGTGTGGTCCCTTTACCATAGTGAGACAGTCGTCTCCAGTGACTTTCAAACTGAAAGGTCCCAAAAAAGGCAAACTGGATGCCCATTCTAGTCAACTTAAACCTCTGTAAAACCAGGCTGGTCCTGTTTAGGGAGATGGAGTCTAGGTAAAAGTGTGTTGTTTTTACTGATAAATACTATAATAATCTAATGTCATAATAATTCCACATTATCCATATTTTTCTGTACTGATGATTATACTAAAGTACCCTGGAATTGCGTTATTTTCACACTACTATACAAATACTCTTGATCACTTTGAATTTGTAACATGATTACTTGATTGATTACTGATTGATAAGAAGTATGTATACATTTGAATGATGTTTATTATCTGGAACGTTTTCTGGATCCCCATGCTTAATTTAGTGGAAGGGGATGTAACGGGAGTTACTATTTGTTATTGTTTTGCATTGTGGGTAATAGTGGCGTAATGTCACATGATGACACGGGAAGGCGGTAGACAGACAAGTGTGATGCCTCATTGGGAGAGTTCGGTCTTAGGTCTCGAATAAAATGATGTTCATACATGCTTATTATTTGCTGTTGTAAATTACTATTATTGTTTGGTGGCGTAACCCGTGTTCAATTTAAGTACCGCAATATTGCTAGACCGGATCGGACGTTACACTTGCCTAGGGATATAGACTACTCTGCTGGGCCCTAGGCCAGTACTATATAATATAGCCTAGCCTATGCCTGATAGTACTGTTTAATAGGCCTTAGTAGTACTAGAGCCTAGACTCTAGAGAAGGCCTTGCCTTGGCTGGCCTCATTGATCACTGCATGATGAGAAATAGTTTTCCTGAGGTGTAAACCTTACTAATTTAACCATGTGCTCAAAAAGGATTATGATTGTACACTTATACATTGGGAAACGAATGTTTAACCTGAAGATTGTTATTACGCATGAAGACGGATTGCCTAGCTTAGCTAGGGCTTCTCCTGATTGTCCTAATTCCAGGCTAGGAAAGAAGGGCGGGGACTGACTGACAGACCGGTTAGCACATCAGCTCATCGTTCTCATTAATCAGGACTTCCTCTTCACTCAAGGCCTCAGCCTAGCCTTGTCGCGATTAGTCTTAAAATACGGACCCCTTACCTTTTGTATAAAGTCCAGCTAGTTCCTTAGCGCCAGCATGATTTGGGCCCCATCTTGACACCTTAATTTGTTTTATATCCCCTTCTTGATTACAATTAGGGTCCTCTTCTGTCATCATATCCTCAGCTTTCGCAGCCACCCGCTCAGGAATCGCCATCGCTCTGGCGCTCTCGAGCACACACATCTGGCTGTCTATACGACTTAAGCCTTGCCTGTTGATGATTGTGATAGGTCGAGACGATCAGTACGATCGTATGTCATCCAATAAGCATTCTTTTTTCTGAATATCAATTACTGAACACACGAGTTGCATGGCCTGGAAAACTTGCGTGGTTTAGGCTCCTAGGCCTATGTCCTATTATTATTGGTAAAGCATATTTTTTCGACACTTGTTGGAACAAAAGGAAAGTTACAGAAATGTTAAATACAGACATATTTTAATGTCCCGTTTCCTCATTTAGGTAGGCCTAGTTTACTTTATTTTGAAGTAAATTAGGTCTAGGCCCTAGGTTATATCATTACATATAGTTTAGTAAGGTCCCCCTCCTTGGTTTGGCTAGTTTAATAGGTTAGTTAGGGAGGCTGATGTATGATGATGCAGTTGGAGCTGGCACTGATCGTAGATAGGATAGATAGACTACCGCGAGTAGGCCCCTTAACCTTGATTGATGGGGTATATTGGTATAGGCCTATTACTGTTAGGCCACCCAGCTGAAAAAGAAGAGGCCCAAAAGGCCCTAGCCTAACAGCGGTGGTAGGCTTAGCCTATAATATATAGCTAGGCCTAGTTAGAGGCAGCCCAGCCAGGCATTGGTTTGGGTAAACTGTTTTGTTCTTTGAAATTCATCAACCAGGTTCATTTTTTTATGATTTTTTTTTATTACTAGGCCTAGTCTATTATTACACTGCATGGCAGGGGCCAGCCTTTGTATTGTTCCTCCAGAATTTGGGCTCAACCTCTTTTTGAATGATACCACGCTAGATGCAGACACAACATCTTTCGGTAAGTTATTCCACTCCATAACCAATCCATTGACCAAAGAAATGTTTACAATATTGGTCCTATATAGTATATCTTTTGTGAAAATGAAAAATAAATAATTGATCATCATGTTTGAGCCTAAGAAACAATTTGTAGTTCAACTAGACAAAATTCCCCTTGTTTTTGATACTGTCTTGCTTGTTGTCACATGCACTGTGGCTAAAATTGCCCAACATTTTACCTTTCTCAGGACCAAAAAAAATTCCACATCTTTCCACGACCAGTATTTTGAATTGTCTTTAACTTTGCAAATAGGAATTCAGTACCTGCAAAGGACAATCTCGTGCTTAAAAAGGCCTTTCAAATTAGAATTTTAATTTCATAAAACAAAAGTTTTTTTTTTTTTTACAAAATTGGTATCAGTATCTGGTGAGAGAACCACCTGACCCCACCATGGTTGAAGCTATAGTAAGGTTGAGACTTACAGAGAATTTGGTACTTAACAGTAATAGCACTTTCAAACTCCAAAAACAATTTTCGAAGTATCATAAGGCAAAAAAAAAATTATTATGTTGGCCACGCCTGACCGACCCAAATTTTCCGGAATTAAGGGTCGGAATTTTAGCTTTGTTTTTTTTTGACAACGAACAATATTTCTTTATGAGCAAATAAGGCTGGAATAGCCTTGGTGAGGCTAGGGGGCCAAGGCTAGCTTATTTTGCTGGATGGTATGTGATGCGAATCCAAAATTGTTTATTTATTTGTGCATTTTCAACTTTTTAGTCGTAAACACATATTTGGTTGTAAAAAAAAAAAAAATAAAAAACTTTTCCAAACAGACCTACCCATTTTTGGATTTTCCAAAAACATGTCCAACATAAATTTTTTTTTTTTACAATGTAAAATTTCAGGGTGCGAGATAAAATATTTTAAAAAATATGAAGTGATTGCAGTGCCTGATTGGCAAATTTCAACTTTTTCCTTTCAGACATGCCACCTGCCTCTTAACCATGAAAGACATAAAATATAGAAAAAACACATTTTTGCATAGTCTAAATATTAATTAAAAAGGGACTAATTGAATCGGCAGTGTGATTTATTGTGATAACATAGACTGTTGAGTTTCATATTTTGATTTGTTAATCAAGAATCAGTCACAGGGTGAGGGGGGGGGGATTTGTGCGTTGGTTCTTATAACCTTGTCAAAAGGCACATAAGATTTTATTATATTTTGTTAATTTCAAAATCACACTAAAACAAAACCTATTGTTTTAACAATTCATATTACTTTTTAATTAATTGTTTTTTTATATTTTTTTTTTTTTAACAAATGCTATGAAAAAACCCAGGTCTTATTTTAGTAGGTAGCCTAATTGTAGAGAGCTTAAAACTTACAAAAACACTCAAAAGCTGGAATTTGATACATCTAATAAGAAAGTCAAAAAAGCCAAACACTTAGAGACTGCAAGTGAATACGGTATTGGAAGAAGAGCAACGACAGGAATGGTATGTGAATTTCAGTTAAAACAGCGTAAAAAGAATTAAAGAACAATATACTGTAAGATTAATTCTACTAATTGCCCTGTGTAAATTCCCCTATTTCCTCTGAAACCGCTTAAAGGAATGTGCTCATATCTCATACACTGGGGTTTTTTGATATGTCACGACCACGTTCTGCTACAGGCGTAGGCCTGGCAGGGGTTGCGCTAGCAGGAGGAGCTGCCCCCCCCCCCCTGGTCAGGGAGAAAAAGCACAATTCTTTGGGGAGAAAAAAAAAATTATATGTATTTTCTACATATTAGTAGACTCTAAAATCGATAAAGTAAGCCTTTGAAACCCCTAAATTGTCAAAATTTTGGGGGACTTCGCCCCCTGGCCCACTTTCAAAACCTTTCAATCGAAGTTCGAATACGCCCACTTTGCTTTCATTGGGGAAATCTGACCCCTTGTCGGGGGAATAGGCCCCACCTGTCGGGGACCTCGGTCCCCCATCGGGCAAATCCTGCCGCCACCCCTGAGGCCTGGATACTGTAGGTTGTCAAGTGTGGTCTTTCAATTGACGTGAGTAGAGTCGTAGACTAAAAGAATACACATATTTCCAGCTCATAATATCACTTTTATTTGAAAAGTTACACAATGATGATAATTCATTTAACGATTGAAATGAAATGCTTGCCGACCACCACTCCAAAATGCTGGTGAGAACCCTGATATAAAATTTGTGATTTTTTGTAATTTAAAAACAATTTTAAATACTGTATTTACATTTTAATCTATTGTTAGGCCAGCAATATTGGGGATTTGTTGTACTGTAAAAACCTGGTAACCCTGCAATATTCAAACTGTGGTCCAACAGGCATTATACAAAGCATTCCTTTTTGCTCTCACCTGAGGGGCGTATTCATTGTTATGCATGTACAGCACTTCCAATATTAAGTATTATTTTGATACAGTATTTATCTTAGCAAAATATTGGTCGGGCAGCCACTTGCCTGCTGGACCGTTGTCGTCGCCCATGACCTCCCTGATTAGATGTTCATAGAAGTCCATTTGCCTTTATAAGTATATGCAATACTTATGGTTCATGGTATAAGCAGTACTTTAACCTTTATTAATATTGAATAATTTATTTTTATACTGGTATACTGTAAACAGCCAGTTCCAATGTATACAATATTGATAGATTATAGAGAGTCTATGCTGATGCACTACATACATTGAATATGGAATTTTGGAATAGTTTTTGTACTTTAATACTGCAGTTTCATTCCCAATAATCTTTGATTTCATGTTTGAATAATATGCAATTATTTTCAAAATTCTGATTTGGCAGAATTAGCAGACAATTTACGGTAATATATAATGTTCTGTAAATCTGTACACTAAGATTTGTTTAGATTTCAGGTTGACTGAAAACAAACAATAGATGTCAAAACTTGCACATAGGTAGGCTATGTTCCCAGTATTGTCCCCTCCATTTGGCAAACAACAATTCAATACATCTGTACCTGGATTGAATAGTGTTTCGTGGCAACATGGCCACTTTGTGGGGGTTTTTCTAATTTAAATAATAATAATTGTAGACTTATACAGAGTAGCACATACGGTATTAAGCCCTGTGTACGCTTCACATTATCATTACCCAATCATTGTATTAAATGACTATGGAACACAACTCATGCTCCCTGGGGCATATTCCGTAACGTTGCAGTAGCTACATTAGTGCATTTTGGTATTTTACCCTACCAGGTACCCACTTACACTTCTGGGTGGAGAGAAGCAATGCAGATGAGTTCCTTGCCCAAAGACACAACAAGTGAAGTGCACAGCGAGAGATTAAAATATGTTCCTCAAGGTTAGGAACCACAAACCGCTTCCACTTAAATAACAATAATTTTATATTTTTTTTAAATTAGTATGCCAAATATAGAAAAGAAATACTTGTTTAAAAAAAAAAAAAAAAAAAGATTAGAATGTAGTCGGTGTTTTTGCTATTTGGATATACAGTAGAACATAATCAAACTGTAACACACAGTAAACATAGTAATGAATATGGTTACTGTTATTGGAAATATACAACTCAACTAAAAATGTTTGTGTTTGTACACTCAATATAATCTAATTTAATATTTTATCAATACCGCCAAAGATTTTGATCCGGCCGGACAAACATTGCTAAAATTTAAAAAATAATTTTCCCGCTTTCAGTACTAACAGAAAAGTTTTTCTGTTAAATAGAAACACTCTACTCCATAAAATAGAGTCTGGCTTTTTCTGAGTGTGGCTCATTTATCCAGGGGTAGCACCTCCCCCACCCCACCGGGGACCCCTGTTGGCAAATCGTGACGCCAACTCTGACTGTATCTAGTGGTGGCATAGAATATTGACATTGCCCTGAGAAGGGGGAGACTGATGTGGGATAAAAGTTTAAGTGGGAGAGGAGTCTCTGATACGATGCGATGTCTAACCATTGGCAGCACCAACAGCAGATCTGGGGAGCAATCTTGGAGCATGTCTTTCTGTTGAAAACATATTTTTACAGTCTAAAAGTGCCATTTCCAGTAATTGAGAGGTGTCAGTTTTTTTATAATTTGCACCAACCATGGTGTGGCTGAGGTAGTGTGGGCCCTTTTTGTGTGTATCGGACTCCTCGTCGGGGAATTTCTGGATCTGGCATTGTTTTTAACTCATTAGTACATTGAGTGGAATTTTGTGCTCAGAGAAGTTCTAGTGATAGGGTAGGAGAACCTGGGATGCAAGTATTTTTATCCCCCACCCTTTCCCATGCTTACTGCATTCCCTCATTTTTACAAAACAATGAAAACCCAAGGCTAATAATAGGCCTATTAGGAATAATAATAATAATAATAATAATAAGGTAAGAACTTATATAGCACCATTTAAAAAACCGCTTCATGTTATTGTTGGAATAAGTGCGTTTTGAGTGATTTTTTAAATAAAGCAATTGATGTTGATAGGTCTATAAAAGAGAATGATTGGGGCTGACAATGAAAAAAAAATGGAAATACACAATTAATGTTGGCCCACCACTGGTCTCAACAGATTGGGAAAACTTATAGGCCTATAAAAGAGAATGAGTGGGACTGACATTGAAAAAATTGGAAATACACAAATTTATGTGGAACTGCCACTGGTCTCAACTGATTGTACATGGCCAGCAGCTTAAAAAGTTTGAATACCCGGGTCCTAGAGGTTGCGGTTTTGTCTTCACTTATAATGGGAAAATTATTTATCAAATGATTTACTTCAATTTTAATATTTGTGTTTAATTTCATTTTTTCATATATATAATGGCTCCGTCGGCCAAATTTGGCCTGTGGGCCTTCCCTTAAGAACCAGGGCTATAGGGTCATCCTTTTGCTCAGAATTAACTAACTTTCATATGATGGTACATTGGTTTTTTTTTATATATTTCCTATTTTTGGCTTCCTTGAATTATTAATCTTATTTGCAGAAGAACCTCTATTATCTGAATCTAGAAAACTACTAAATAACTTTAAACGTATTTGGAATAAGAAATCAAACTTTTAAAAACTGTTATGTAACACATTAGTTATTGAATTTATTGATTAAAAGTTGTTTTAATAAATGAGCAATTAAGAGTGTTTAAACTGAGGGGTTTTTTTTTACTTTTTAGGTGGCTCTCTAACGAACAAATTGCTCTTAGAGTTTAAGAAATTAGCGAGTATCCTGGACAATTCATTTGACAGATAGATTGCTTTAAGGTTTTCTGATATTCAGAGTATACAAAGGGGATGTTAGTGGATGGATGCTGCCGATCATTGGTGTCATGTCTCAAACAGTTGAGCTGTCAAATAACCAGATGTACTTCCACCACAATATTTACAAGGAAATGTCATGAAGATCATAAGACTAGTAAAAGCCTTACACATCAACATTCACCTAAAAAGGCACCTAAGGGCAAGAAACAACTCACAGAAAAGAAATTGGTAAGGTTGTTTTAACAAATTTGATTTCATAAATTTTGTTTCAGTATTTTTTTTTTATAAAAGATTATTTGTGACAAAAAATAAAATTGGTAAATTCTATTTGATCATCATAAACATCCATATCAAACATGAAAATCTTTTTTCATTGTATAGTAATTAATTTATATTAACTATTTTTATTGAATTTCTATGTTATATGATTCCACATTATGTGATATTTGATACTGAACACATTTAATTTTAGACTAGACGTTTCATCGACTGGCGTCGTGTTTTGTTTGTTGGGGGAGAAGGAGGGGATGGCTGTATATCCATGAGACGAGAAGCACATAATGAGTATGGCGGTCCAGATGGTGGAAATGGAGGAAATGGTGGCAAAATTATTTTACAGTGTAAGATACAAAATGTTGTTATTGTCATAAGCAAAACTAGAAGCTATAAGGTGCATTGTACTCTGATATACAGCAATATTATTAAAAATAGAAAATGCATGTATTGTACATTCTTATTATTACTGTATTATTATCCAAGTTCCTCTTTTATTGCAATGTTAAAGAAATGTGCCAAATGTAAAGTAAACTCTATTATAAGTCAATCGTGACATCATCACTGCAACTCCAATGTTATTTTCCTATCTCCAACCATGCACTAATCTTTCAATATTGCACAGTTTGCTTGATATTTTTAGGTTTGTGTGCAAAAGACCAATTCAACTAGTACATATCACACATCAGCATCTACGACACGCAGACATCCGCCAAAATGACATTCGTAACTTACAAATTCAATATTACGTATGAAATATTCAGAGATTCCTTGAATCTATAGACCCTAATAAACTAAAAAAACTTAGGAATATTTGAGGCCTATCTGGGCTACTGTATTTCAAAGACGCAAGAAATGAATTAAAATGCAGGCAGCAGACCCAGGCCTAGCTTACATCGATTCGTAAGCCTAGTTGAATCACTGTACGATTTTATCTGCCTGCACTGACCAAGGATGTGGTTACTGTATTTTTCATGACTAGTTCTTCGAACACAATCAAATATTTATTCATTGTCCTGCTGAGTAAATGCACATACCATTTCAAGTGCACTGCTGTGCTAGCGCATACTACAGTATTAATCCACATGCTCATCTAAATTTAGTACGCGCACAGATATACTGATCATATCACTATAGCAACCATTGACTACTACAACAGTTTGATTATAAAACTTGCACGTATGGGCGGCCAGTAGGGTCAAAATTGAAAACTCTACAAACAACAGCAAACAAAGGACAAACTACCCTCAGGTTTTTTTTCTCGAATTATATCTAACCTTCATATAATAAATTTCCACTAATATGCAACAACTGTATTCTAATTACTTAATGTGCAATCTTCTTGGAACCTCCATGAGAGGGGACTTCTTGTCCCTGTGTGCTTTATGGTCTTTTAGCTAAACAGGAGCCCTTTACTCACTGGAAAATTATGGATTACAACTTACCTTCAGAAATGTATGCATAATTCAATATTTTTGCTTGTTTTCTTTTGCAGGACCCTTAAATATTATTAGAATTTTGTAGTAAGCTGACTGTATATCAGCAAAAAACTTAACTGATTGAAATTAATTGCTTGCTTTTAAATGAGCCTTTCAAAATTGCAATTGATTGAGGTTTTTATAATTTGTTTGGCAGGCCGTATACAGTAGTTTTTTTTTAATTGCTAATTTTGTAGTGACATACAAATTATTAACTTGAGCAGGTGTACCCTGATATTTGTACTTGATAGTGATAAATATAACACTTTCAGTGAATGGAATTGTTTATATCACTTTTCACTGTAAAATTATGTGTCAACATCGTTTAAATCTATGTTCAATTTTATCATTTTTATGTTACTTCAAAATGAGCAAGTTAATTTCAAAAATGATTTATGATATTTTTTTGGTATTTTACTTGGGAAAATACCAAAATTTAAGATTAAATATATAAACTTGCAATAGTTTCTTTATAATAGGAAAACAGTGCTATATTATAGCATTTTTTATGCCACAGATGAACCCACATAGATCAGGCATGGAGGTATAAAATAACTGTATGCCTCTATGGATCAACCCACCTTTATTCAGCTTAGAAAATATAAACGTTACAAAAGTTTTCTTGCCTGTAAAATGGCGATCATACTGCTTCACTTCTTTCAGAATATTTTTTTGAATAAAAATGTTTTGAAAAAATGGAATATAGATGAAGTTTAAAAACTAAGCACAAATGTAGTTGATGTATTTAAACACAGTGAATAGAACAAGACACAGTGAGATGGAATTTGGCAGCATGATTCTCAGATTTCTTTTTGTTCCGTCAATTTACTGTACTTCATCAGCAGCCTTTGTACACCCACTACGCCCACTCTCAATATTATAGCAGTAATGTAACAAATTTGGCATTACAGTCAATTTTCCTTCATTTGGCATAATCTAGCATAATTTCCCATCAATCCCTGGCATAATTCAGTACGCATTGCTGGTCACACTGCTCTCTAGGAAAAAAAATTCACTGGCCAGACCACTGGGTCGTTTCGTGCCAACTCAACAAATTTTCAGAAAGTCATGGCTGGGTACCGTCTCAGATTTTCTTGAAACTCGGATATAATGTGCACCAACATGTCTGACGAACAAACCCAAAATTTGACTTGCCAATTCCAAGTCGTTTAGAAGTTACGGCCATTTAAAATTTTAGGGTCATACCCCTTTTTAGCTATCAATTATGACATATTTGTAAAGTTGCATTTTCAATTAGCCATATCTTCAAATAGAATAAAGATAATTAACTGAAAAATGATATCTAGACTAAATTTTGGCTGTAGAACAGGAATATAACATGACTTTTGGTATACCGGACCCCGTTACAAAAAATATTGGTTCGTAAAGACCCTAACTTATTTAGTTGCGTAATTTTTCTTCCATTTTTAGACCCCATTAAAATACCCAAATCAGTTATTAAATGGGTCTTATGCACCAAATTATTAATATATAGTTGGAAATGTTTCACCACAAAAAATTCCGGATTTTTAACTTATCATTTTAGGGGGTAATCGTAGGTCAAAAAGTCATTCGGGACAAAAAATGCACAAAAATGCCTCGTTTTCATGGTGACCTTTGACCCTGTGGGCAACAACGCTTGTTGTTAAAACTTGCACCATTAATTAATTTACATATGATGATCAGATGTTTCAAATATCAGCTTGGTGTCTTTATCCCTTCATGTTTAAAAAGCGATTTGAAAAGGGGTATATTTTTCAATTTGCGACAGTATCAGTGCATAATGTGATAAAATTAATTTTTGAATAACGATAATATTAAAAATAATCTGCCTAGACCCTTGAAACTTATAATTCTAAAACAACTTTATGTGCTTATTTCAGGCATGCAGTTCGTTAAGGGATATAGTGTTTCATTAGTAAGATATGTCCCCCCAAAAATGGCCCAAATGAGCATAATATTATCCCTGTACTGTCTAGAGCCGTGAAACCTTTTATTCTAGGACAACTTTTTGTGTTGATTTCAGTTATGCAGTCTGTTAAAGGGATAAATTGTTTAATTAGTAAGATATTATGCCCCAAAAATGGCCCAAGTGCAAAAATTGTGCAATAAAATTGTGTTACGATTGATTTCAAATGAGCATAATATTATCTGTGAACGGTCTAGAGGCATGAAACCATTCTAAGACAATATTTTCGTAACGGGGTCCGGTATACCAAAAGTCATGTCATATTCCTGTAGGTCGGTAGGGATTTTTTTTTTTGGACCAAATATGCGTTTACGCCTAAAAAGTAGAAAATACACATATAACACAACAACTTTGGATTCAAATCGCGTACCATGCAGCAAAATAGGCTAGCCCTGGCCTTGCCAAGGCAGATGTGTATAAGAGACAGCCCACGCTGCTTGGCTAGGCCTAGCCTTACCTCGATTTAGGTTCTGTTGTCACACATAAAAACGGCCGACATGATATTTTCCGTTGCTAGTATTGACACTTGTGAAATATAATATTTCATAGGAATTATTTCAAATTTGTAAAACTGATTCTGACTGAGATTTTGACACTTAAACAAACATATCTCAGCCTAACCGAACGACCGCATTGTGCAAGATGCGAAGTACAAAAACTAATCTCATTAGAGAAGGCACACTTTATTGGCTGTATAAAGTATACATAAAAGCGAGAGTATTCCAGTGGATGCGATCTACTACCTCTGAATTTGCCTAGTAACGATGAATTCGTCGAGAAAATGGTAATATTTTATGAAAAATAGTCTGTATTTCTCATTTTTTTTATTCTTTTGCGTAAAACTAAAATTCATGCCAATATTTTTCCATGATTTATAATAATTGGAGTATCTAAAAAAAGTCAGTTTTTAGTGAAATTTTTCCGGGAATGGGGCTTTAATTAAAACATGGTCGTAATGATCCTTATGTTAATAGAATTAACAAATTTCAATTTTCTAATCCATTTATATAGCCAGAGTTGTTTTCTACTATGGCTAATAACAGTTACACTTTCTATACTAAAGGCTTTTGTGAATGGAATGACCTGTTACAAGCACAAACTCCCATAGATCAAACCCAATGCTGTACCATTACGATTATAATCATACAAAAACTTAACCCATCAGGCAAAATATCATAGAAGCACAACTAAGGCGAGATTTCGTGATACTTTGTTTAGCGAACCCTCCGACCACCAATAATAGTAATCTTCCTTAATTATATAAATTTAAAGCATTTATCAATTTCGTATTCTACACTGTTTACATTTATCATAGATATTTTTTTTCTCCTCTGCCAACAGTAGATGCTATGGCAAAATCATTTTGCTAAATAAGAAAGCAAAATTTAATTTTTGCTTTTTTCCCACCCTCCTGTGACAATTGTTGAAAAAATAATTTGGTAAACAAGGTATTAAAAAAGTTCCCTAAATGACAATGAAAATAGAAGATCATCATGTATGCTCATATCTCACTAAGTATTTTGAATTTTATATGACTATAAAAATAACCATAGTGATTCATTTTATTGATTGTATCACTTTTTTTGGAGTTTGTTTATGCTATAAAGAATAACGACGACATCGGCAAAAATGCATTATTGAGATTTTTTCCTCATAGTACTTTTCTTGTTGTTTAATTTTATGTATTGTTTTCACTTGGTCAAGCGCCAACATTGGTTATTTTGAGTTCTTATCTCCTTCAATACAGGTCCCTCTTGGAACTATCGTAAGAGAAAACAATGTGAAATTAGTGGACCTGGCAAATGAAGGTGATGAGGTAATTCCAAAAAAATAGTGTTTTTTTACATATATATTCTCTTATTGAATATACTGCTATTTATAGGAGTCATATCCGTAACAGGTCAAGTTGTAAGCTTGGATTCGTGTAACAGGTCAAGTTTTAAGTTTGGATTCGGGTCCTTGGGTGTCGCCACACAGTAAAGTATAGTAAACACTTTGGAATGCTGAGGTGAGCCAAGGTTCAAGAAACACATAAATTCCCAGACCTTTCAACTTACTTGACTTTGATGCATCCAATAGCATACAGTACTTCAAAGAATCACCCAATACATAAAAAATGAAAACTTCTAACATATGTATAATTAAATTAACAATATACATTGCAACAAATAAGAAAAAGGCCTAAGCAAAACCAACAAGAACTAACTTACATGTTAATACTAGCATTAAACCATGTAAGGTTCAAACATAAAGTACAAATACAAGCATACATCGTACACTCATTCACTTTTAATATTATGTAGCAGTATACTGAAGCTCGCTGCGAGAGCCTATTTTTTTTCAATTGTCACCAGGGTCTAGGATAACAATAATTTATATAAGGTAAATATATGATGATTCTATACTATCATTTTAAAACTTATAATGTGGAGATTATGAATATCCAGTCAATTTTTATTTATTTTGCTCACTGATATTCGTTTTGGCATGGCAAGGCCCCAAATGTTAAGCTCAGGGTATTTCACATCTTAACTTCAACCATCACTCATATGACGTAGGTTTGAATGATAATTCATAAATTCCTGGGGAAAAAAGTACTATCACGTTAGATGGTAGTAATTTGTTGCCCTGTCGCAATGTAATTGCTAGGCCCCACTTACAACGTTGCTATGTAATTTATGATACGCACAGACAGTATTAGGTGACGTGACTTGTAGAATCTATGTATGAGGTGTATAAAACAAACATTGACTGCTCTAGATTCGGGGAACAGTGGGATCTACAGCTCCTCAGTGATTCCTCAATTTCACCATTCTCCTCATGAGCTGTCAATATTTGAATACCATAGAAATTTTTAGTTTCTCTTATTTACAGACATATAATACTACAAAATCCTTATAGCTTGGACGCACCACTGATTAGAGTGTGCCACTGTTGTAAAAGTGAGTGCCAAGAAAAAAAAACTGATTAGCAGCAAATTTAAGGGTCTATGCTAAAAAATCACAGGAAATTGAACTGTCTGTTAACTGACAGGGGAATTGTTTTCTAATTCAAATTTTTAATTTTTAATAACAAATTTACAAATTAGGCTATTCAAATAAATTTTAATTTTTTTTAAAACTCATGAGTGACAGTACATAATGTACGTTAATAATTGAATTATGCAGAAAGGATACAGCATGTAAAACTACATAAGTAGATAGACTGATATATTATTAAAACGTTTACTGATATTCAATTATAGGCCTACATAATTATGCATTTCCTGTCTCGTCTAAGTTAGTCTTGTCACAAATTGAAATAAGTGATTACTCCATCAACCAAAACTTGACTAATGTGAGCTCTTAAGCAACATCTGTATATGCAGTTAGATTAAGAAGAGCTTTTCCAAGTTGCTTTGAGATTGTAATATATTTACAAGAGATTGTTTGTATCAGCTCTTAGTAGATTTAATGGACTTATTGATACAGTAACCTTCTGAAGTTCTAATACTTATGACTATGGGGCAGAATATGTTTCTGTTTAAGCAACTCCCTGGTTTATTAAGTAATACTGTAGTTAGGCTTTTCCCAAACCCCTGTTTTCTCATAAATGTTTTCTTTAATTCATTTTCCATTCATTACATTTCCTTTTTACATTTTAGGCTGAATATATTTTGGAAGATTGTGTTTCAGTGCATCTTTCAGTTTTCTTTTCAGCCATACTTGTTCTGTGTGTAGTATTTTCCTAGTCTGGTGTCTGAATTTCTTTCAACATGTGATCCAATATAGCTGATTTATTCACTAGCCAATGCTTTTTTGCTGGCCTTGTTTCAGCTACTACAGTTTTTGTCTTCTACCTCCTTTCTATTGTCCTTATCCTTGTAATGCTCTGCCAGTCCAATATTATTATAGAATACAACCTGCTACTTTGTCACAGATCATAGGGTTAATATTTGCTGAATTTCGCTAATAAAGTTAATGTGTTAATTACTTTTTAATCTTTTTTTACCTTCTCTAAACAGTTTGTTGCAGCTCGTGGTGGTGCTGGTGGTAAGGGGAACAGGCATTTCTTATCTAATGAAAACCGTGCACCACAAATTGCCACTCGTGGAATGCCAGGGGAGCAGCGGACTTTTGAATTGGAATTGCGAGTAATGGCCCAAGCTGGACTGGTAAGAACAATGAGTATAAGCTCCTCAATACTTTCCAAATTGGCAGATAGAATATCATTAACACAATACAATATTTGCTCTATACACATTGATTGTCTACGTTGGTTCACCTGGGTTGACCTAAATTAGCCAGCGGAAATTGTCAAGATTTACCATTATGTTGCTAGCTGTAAATGGTCACATTTTAACCAAAAGGTGAATTGTGAACTTAAGGCTTACCAAGGGTCAAGCAGAGTACGTTGCCTGAGTTAAGTTGACTGGACTAAGAGTGATTTCTTGCCAGTCAACCCAGGCTAGTACACACTTCAAATTTCCCAACAAGATTTCTTGGTTTGACTAGTCAATCTGACTGCAGCCTTTTGATCATTTTTTACTTTTGCTTGTTTTTTTCACAAACTATACAATTAATTACAGCAATTTCTCATGCAATCTTCCTTCTCAAATCAGATTGGATTTCCAAATGCTGGCAAGTCAACTCTGCTACGAGCCCTGTCCAGGGCCCGCCCCGCAGTGGCTGCCTACCCCTTCACAACCCTAAATCCACACGTAGGAATGGTAGAGTATGATGATATGGAGCAGGTTGCAGGTGAGTTTACTGTGTTTATTTTGTGCTTCAGGTGTATTGTCATTTATTAAATAACCTTGAATAAACGCCACATCTGTATTCAAAATGAATTCAATTCAATTCAAAACATTTGCTACATTATTAGGTTTTTTTTATTGAATATTTGCATATATATTCATCCTTTGGTTTTGGCACTACATTATTTCTCAATCCTTACGCTGCCAGCTCTTTTCTTATTCAGTCAACCAGAGTGCCAGCTGATAACATTACCTCTAATCCCCTGTGCCAGCTAATTATTTAACAGGGTCACCATAATGCTTATTTTTGATAGTGTATATTATTTGCTCAATAAATCATAAACTATTCAGATAATAAAAATATAAATCTAAAAACAATTAATCAGCATTAGTTAATTGTTTTGTACATATATGCTTTTATTCCTGCATTTTATTTATCATTTAGTGAATAAATGATAGGAATATTTGTTCAAGGCCTATCACAAATAGTATATTGGGCCTAGGCCCATTAGCAGAGTATGTGTTTTCAAAGTCAAATTACTTGCTGATGAAAATCAAAATAACGAATCCTAGGCCTACGTATATTTACTAACATTACCATCACAGTTCAGACCTAGCTAGGCCTAGGCTAGGTCTGCCTAGCTAGGCCTAGGACCAGAACATTGTTTTCTATGTCAGTTTCTAAGTCTCCTTATTATCCAGCACATCTGCAACAACTACAGAAGAATAAAGTTTCTCAGCATTTCAAAACATCATATTTTCAACTTGCAAAAACTCAAACTTCCATTACAACAATATTTCGTGTCTAAATTCGATAAAACGGCAGTGAAGGTCGCCAAAAACCACTAAATTTGGTCATTTTTCAACTTCTTTTTGTAATAACTTCGCAAATACTTCATCGATTTTTTTGGGGAAAAGATGAAACTGATCGGAATTTAATAATCATTACAACAATTACAAATTTATAAGTGTAATGTTAACACCTTTATCGGACTTTTGATTTTTATCAAACCCACTCGTGCATTTTTTCAGCGTAAAAACAGTGAAATCTGCCGAAATATCCCAGCTGTCTTTAACATAAATCCCTCTACAGTCGAAAGTTGTGGGCCGATTTCTTTTGGGAAAAGTCCATTCGAAAGCCCTTTTTCTAATTGTATCCTAAATATAAGATTGATCGGTTGAGTAGTTTTATCGGACCAATCAGATTTATGAAAATCATCCAAAACTCCTCACAATATGCTTAAGCATTACAAGCATATGGCAGTCTGACGCTCACGTGGATGCAGAGCTTGAAATATACTCTGGAAAAACAGATAAAATGACTAAATTATCCTTATTTTTAAACACTAAAATTATGATCATAGGCAAAAGAAAAGGATAGAGATTCAAATGATGTAAATTATATGCAGTAAAAACGTACAGATTTTTGGTACCAGCAGTATATAAATGTCAGTTTTTGTAAAAGACCCCATTTTTTCGAGCGGTTCATTGGTTTGAGATGGTCGATTCCATTTTCTTATGTGTACATGACTACGTACATGTGAGTGGTGAAGACTGTAAAGCAGGGTAGAATATGTCTTCTTTTGAGGGTAAAAATAAAACTGTGAATAGTATTTAGATAATTATGTATGTTGTTTAGAATAAAAATTGAAAGTCCATATGAAAATGTTATGGCGTTTAATTTGTAGTTGTGGAACCCCCTAAATTACAAATGAACTGTTCCAAATCCGTTACGCGCTTGACTGATCACCCACAGTGTACCGTTAGCCCATGAGGAAGCTACCTTGAGGTCGAATTCAGGGAATAAAATTGCACTGCTAGCAAAATATTGTCGTAATGTAACAAAACAACACCCAGCAAGTTTCACATCAAAATGTGCAGAAATTCATTAGCTTTCATCATATGCAGTAAACACTATTTGGGTTACAGTAGTGTTAAAACAGCCGCTCTATGGTCGTTTTTTGGAAGACCATTACCAATTCGCATTTATGCGAAGGTGGCGTACGGCTGACAGTGAGCCTAATCGCATTTATGCAAAACTGGCATGCACACCAACTGTGCGGTGTTCGCATTTATGCGAAGATGGCAGCGTAAAGGTTAAATAAATCAAAATTTCACTTACAATAACATAAAACTTGGTTGTTGCTTGATTTTGATTGATTTTATGGATAATGATTTTGATTTTGCTTGTTTCAATATGCAAGTGGCTACTTTGTTGAAATGTGTACTGCCACCCAAAACAAATTTTAAAAACCTTTAAAATTCAAATAAAATTTCTCATTTTATAGAAAGGAATTTGTTGGATCTCTATCAGCAAATTTCAAGAGCCACCACTATATGGGGCCTGGGTTGAGAAAGGTGTATGTGCTGGGTATCAGTTATTACAATTTGTAAATTAGCTGACATTTGAGCCCAGAAAATTTAATCATGTGAAAAGAGACAAAAGGTTTGATGGTCTGGTCATGATAGTATAGGGCCAAGATAAAATATTCAGTATTGCTGCCGGGGCACATCCTGTACAAGCGGGCTGGGGGAAATGAAATAGGGGGTTAAATAATGCGTTTAATCATGTGGAGAGAGACATGGATAAAAATAATTGGATATTACTCCCAGGTAGATACTTGCTATAATGTCACAGGTGACAGCAACTTTTACCTGTACGTGACCTTAAACAGTGACATTAAAGGCCACGCCTAAATACATTTAATCATGTAAGGAGAGACACGGATGAT